TTTGTTGCATTTTCTGAAGTTGTATTTATTTTTATTACTCAATTAAAATTTAGTTGGGACATTTTGTTGTATGTTTTCCATTTGCTGTTCTTAATTGTTTGGATGTATATATGTATATGCCTTCTGGATTTATGCTCATCAATAAGTTTAGTCTCTTACAACTATTTACTTTGGTTTAATGTAGCTGTGTGTTATGCACTTTTAGTAGAATTTTTACTTTGATCTCTAATATAATTTTAATGCTCTTCTTTATTTATTTAGTAGTAATTAATTTGAATTTTAAATATTTATTTGTAGTTTGCATTTTTGTTTTTTTTATTTTTATTTTTTGTAACAATTTTTCTTTGCTGCAATTTCGACAGCATTTTAATTAGTTTTTAGTTGGTTTTAAATGTCGTTTTAATTTTGGTTTTCTTTCAATTCTCTATAATACTCGTACGTATGTGTATATATAAATATTTGTTGTTTGATAATATATATTGGTTTTCAAGTAGACAAACTTGTAGTACACTTGGTAGAAAAACAAAAAATTGTGCCACCAGATTAGTTTTGAGTTCTTGTTGATCAGTTTTTAAGTAGCTCGCTGAAAAAATTTGTTGACGCTTCGTAGCTGCTGTCGCTAGAGTACCCCTAATGTGCCTTGCGGGCTTGTTTCAATTTATTAACATCGAGTGTCAGTTACAAATTACGTTTATATATTCTTTATATTACTTTAATTTTTCCATTTACTTAATTTTGTTTTGCGTTTAGTTTATCCTTATGTAGGTACAACAATACACTGCATTTGGTTTTTGGTTTTTGGTTTTGGCTTTGGCCAGACAAACCGTTTAAATTTCAAAAATGTTTCAGCATTTTCCTTGGGTTTGTCTTCATTGTTTTGCCCTACAATCAATTTTGGAACATCGTGCCATTTTTTTTTCTTTTTTGTATTCATAATTTATTTGTATATTTTTAACATGCTTTGCAAATTGATTTTTAAAAACATATTCGCCTTTGGTTAATGTTTATTTGGACTGACTTAAGCAAAGTTTGAACAAAACACTAGAATATGAAATTATGTTAAATGATTTATTTGGCAAATTATAAATTTCTTTTTTATTTTTAGGCTAAAAGCTATGCATTTTTTTTATTTTTAAATATTTATTAAACGATAGAAATTAATAAACAAGGAAGTTTCCATAGTATGCTTCAGTTATAAGCTAATAATTGGCTCGGGTCGGCTTTACACATAATTTACGAATGGAATTCATATAGAGAATCTAATTGATCTCTCGCAAACCATTCCATACAACAAATCCAGCTGGCTTATAGAATAAATCGATTGAGATCTTTGACAGATTTCATTCAGTTGTAGAATTGAAGAACTCAAAACTGGAAACATTAATTGCCTTTCCATTAATTGAATTATTGCTTATAAAATAATGAATTATTCATATTATTAATTTATTAATTAACATATTTTCTAAAAAGTTTACACGAGTGCAGGCTTCATCAAACACTATGCACAGTTACATTTTACCAATTTTTGTTTCTTGTTTTCTGTTTGTTTAATCAATTTTTTTATTTTTATTTTTATTTTTTTTTTTTAATATTTGTAGACTGCTCTGTGGTCAGCCGACACCAACAAATTGAGAAGTCTGCGCATTGGCGCAGCTTATTCGGGATTGGTTTCCCTGCGGATCTTGTGGCCACGGAACGATGCTTGGATTTTGGTGGCTGCCTTGTTTAGCTCCGGATCGGTTAGATCAATGTCCAGCTCCTCGGCCACCTTCTTGGTTATCTCCTGTATGTCCTCGTCCTCCGGCACATCTTTGTTGACCAGCTTGCGTGCCAGATGGCCACGGAAAGTGGACTGAATCTTCAGCGCAGCATGGCACAGCTCTGCAGCATGAAAGAGAGAGAGATAGAAAGAGAGAGAGAGAGAGAGTGAGATCAGAGCAGAGACCAAATTTTATGTTAGTTGTATTTCTTTGCTTCTTATTGTGCTGACAGCCAAGTGGCCACTTGGCCAACACTTAATTGAAAAGTTTTGCCCCGCCCCTGAGTGCTTTCCCTTGACCGCCCTAAGTACTAAATTAGTACTCGCTGCTCTGCCCCAATTGAAACTTTGCGCTAAACTCAAACAATTTCAACTAGTTTTAATTAACTGCTGTTCATGTGGTGGCGCCAAACATGAACTAGTGGCTATTTATTATAGTTTTAATAGCTAAGCATGCGAGGTCTGTTTGAAATGTTTCGCGAATCGAGCATTTTGTCCCAATCGCAGTAATTTTTACTCAGATTTTATTTAGTTATACTTAATTATTTGTCTTATTGAGCTTCTTCTCTCTCAACCCAAACTCAACGTCGCCTTTTCATTGATCTACTGTAATGCTTAAGCTTCATCCTAGAGTCAAAATTGTCCTCTTATCTGATTTCAGTTGGCTTCTATCAAAATTCTCTTAGTATATTCAGCCAACCCAAATTCTATTAAAATTGCATTGAATACGCAGTTCATCTAGAACGATTTAATACCAGACAAACCTATGTCAAATTGTCATTTGTCAGAATTTTAGGGGGCCAACACAAATGTAAACAAATGATGCTGCATATCCAATTCCCCTCTGGTCCGTGCTGGTCATAAATTTGGAATATGCCCAGATACATAAACACACGCACAAAAAAAGAGAAGAAGAAGCACGCAATCAAAACGAACAGCTCCCTAAGCGCTATTCAGAACTAGACAGAGATATGGCTGCCATGGCTGTAAGCGCGGTCAGGCTAATCGCATTACGTATACGCAATGTGCGCGCGTCGAGGCTGCCCCCAAAGGGAACGAGAGTGAAAGTTGTGCACTCCGTCGCATGTTGATTGCATATTTAATGCAAAAAAAAGAACAGAAAGTCGGACAGCAAACTAAGCTCTGCATTCGCTGGGCTCTGCGTGCGAATGTGGTTGCTGTGCTCGGTCGGAGTCAGTTTACGTGCTTCACTATATTTTTCATTTGATAAAGATGCCTGACGGATGCAGCGCTGCCAAATGAGCTTATTCAATTGCGCAACGACGCCCCGAGCTAATTAGCAATTAACTGTGTCGCAACTGCAGCTCACCGGGCGAGGCAGACGAGGGTTACGTGTGATGCAATTGGCGGCGCAGCAGCAGCAGTTGAGGGCAGTTGGGCAATCGTGAGGCATGGGAAGAATAGATTTCGGCTTGGCCAAAAGCTGCTCAAATCAAGTCTTAAGTCTGACAGCAGATTTGTGCATTTACTCGAATCACCTAAGGGCGACTGTGATAGACAATGGAAAAATGCATTTCAAATTGCTAAAATGCAAATTCATTTAGGTGGGATTTAATATTTTATATGTGTGCATTAACGTCTGCTGACTAAGCTCGCCAAGTAAAGCCTTTAATCGTAGTTGATAAAATAATCTAATTTTGGTATTGGGTTTTGGTAATTTATTTTGTTTCTATAGCAAAGATTTTTATGTGAGGTTAATCTTGGTATTTCCACTTGAAAATTTAAATTATTTATATTTTATAAGCATGCTCGAGTGATTGAATTTGAATGTGGTTGCGCAATATATATTGTGATTGTGCTTAGACTTGCTGGAACTTATAGCTAAAGTTGAAGGGAGACAGCACAAGCGTAGGAGAGAGAAAGCACAATGATTTCTAGTCAGAGATTAGCATGAACAAAATGTTTGCTGAACGATTGCTGTAAAAGCAGAGAGAGCGAGAGAGAGAGAGAGAGAGAGAGAGAGAGAGAGAGAGAGAGTAAACGGAACTGCATATTTGATGTTTGGACTGAGATTTGCATGAGCAATGCATACTGAGAAATTGCTTTGGCTCCAGAGAGATTGAGACAGAGAGAGCGAGAGAGAGAGAGAGAGAGCGAGAGAGAGCAGCGAAACAGCAAATCTGATGTTTCGCCTAAGATTTGCATGAACAATGCTCGCTTACCAATTCTTATCTGAGGCTGGCTGCCTGACTATCAGCAGAGCTCTTAATACGCGTCCTGCTCAAGCCATCGACTAACTCCAATGCTTTGTCATAAAAACAACCAACAAATGGTCATTGAAAGTGTAAAATGTTTGAATTTGATTTTGGTAGAAACTTTTGCCCAAATCCTTACTAAAAATCCCTTTCAATCCCTCAACTTTCGTCTGTTGCCCACATTTCAAGCCAAGCGCGATTTCGGGCCATGCCCATAGCCTTATTTCATATTTAACTACACAATAAATTGCACACACATAAATTTGTAAACTAATTCCTTTGTAAAATAATTGCCAGCCCCGCCTTGTGTTCCAACTGTCAGCTGCAGCTGCCAAATAAATTTCAATCCGTTGTCCCACCCGTATGTAAAGCATTTCTATTTTGTTCTCTCCCTTAAATTTTTGCTGCAGGCACAGAGAGAGAGAGACATTCGTGTCGCGTCAGATTTGCATTCATTTCGTTTACTACAAAATGATTTAGCGCTCATGCAAAATTCATCTTGTCCCGCTCATGACTGTAATCATTCCTTAGTTGCAAGTAACGCTTGCCCAGGTCCAGAGCTGCCTTCGCCTGCAATCTCTTGCTTATTTCCACCATTTTCTCTTTGTAGCTTCTGGAGTTTATGCAAATATAACAAAATTCTCATTTGAAATGTTTTGATTACATTTAGCTGCTGCTCGTTGGAAGTTCGAGGAAAAAGAAGTGCTGAATTTTCGAAGCTCCTCTGGCTGCCGCTCAAGGACTCTAGGACTCGCACATGACAACGTTAAACGCAATTAGGGGGAAAAACTAAATTGGCTGCTGGACTTTCATTTCTTGCTAATGCTAATGCGTTAAGGAGCGGCTGCTGCTGCTCCTGCTGTCAACTAATTGTGGCTGAGTCATGGCAGCACGGGCCGTAAATGTTGTAAAATTACGCATACGCAGCGCTGGCCACGTGCCCGGCTCCAGAGTCACGTGCCGCGTCAGGTTGTGCTGCATTTGTGTTTATTTATAAAATATTTAAAATAAGCCCAAGACGTGCAAATAGCCTGCCAAGCCGAAGGGCCGCAACTGTGACATCATTTATGGGCCAGCTGCAGGCGCAGGGGCGGCAGCTCATGTGCTTCATGTGCTGCTGAATATGCATGACATTCGTGCAGCTGCCACTGCCACTGCTGCTGCTGCTGCTCTGCATAACTTAAGCCCACGTATGCTCTGAGGTGTTATCTTCAAATTATTTTGTAAAAAAAGTTGCGTATTTGCCAAGTTTTAACTCGATTCTTTTTTCATTCCTGACTTTATCTCATTCTCAGCTGGGCGAAACGAAGTCGGAATAGTTTTCAAGTACTGAAATTAGCCCATTTCGTGCCTCAGACGCTATGGCTAGTGATTCGACTATGGATGTATCCGCGCACACACACACACACACACACATTTTTGGTATTTGCGCACGTACCGAGCGTGTCCTGTCACAGGACACGGCCATAGCCAGTGTTGAGCACTGTCTTAAATCTGAGCATGCACATGTGTGCTGTCGCCTCTGCTCCAGCTGCATATAAATTGAGTTTGCGTACCTGAGAGCGAGAGAGGGAGAGTGAGTGTGAGTGAGAGAGAGGGAGAGACAAAGGCGAAACTGCAAATTTGATGTTTGACCAGAGATTTGCATGAGCAACGCTCGCTGGCCAATCGCTGTCTGAGGCTGATTGAGTGACTATCAGAGCAGAGCTTAAGACTTGCCGTCATGTCCACTGGCACTTGGAAGCGAATGTCAATTAAAACTATGCCAGACTGCCAGCAGTAAAAGTCCACTTCAATACACATTTGCTGGCCCTGCCCAGAGCAAAGTCTTAAAATGAGTCCAACTTTGAGTCTCTGGAGTATGCACATTATTGATTTACCTTCACGAGCTCAATTAGCTGATTGGGCAGCCAGGTATGCTGTATTTTCTCTCATTCTGCAATGCTCAACTATTCATCATTCATCTAAATAATACTTTTGCCTCCATTTGCATCTATCGTAATCATATTTTGGCTCTCCGGCTTGTCGATGGCGCATCAAATAGCCTTCGGAACTTTTCTGACCTTTTTTTTGAGATTTCATCACAGGCTGCCCAATGCACAAAAGCAATCAATCATACGACGTGTGTGCGATTTTCACTCCGTTTTTTTGCTCATGCTGCTGTCCTTGGCTACGATGATTATTGGTATTATTGAGAGTGCTTACGGGTTGCAAGCATGGCTGCAACAAAACCATGTTGGTCATGTGTTGGCACTTCTGTGTGGCATTCAATGCTCTTGACCCACATTCCACAACACTGCGCAACAAAAACAATGCAAATTTTATATTAAAAATAAAACAATGCAAATGCATGAATGGCGCACACACGACATTCCCGACTGTGTGTGCATGTGTGTGTGTGTGCGGGCGTGTCTCTGTGTGGGTCGCCGTGGGTGGCATTAACAAAAGTGAAAATCTGTGACGTGTGCTAAGTAATTGTGTCATATATGCAACGAGCACACACACGTGCATAATATGCGAACATAATGAAGTAGATAACATTCCGCCAGGCCAGGCACAACGAATTATGAATGCTCTATTAACAGTAATGAGGCAGCGCTTCTGGCCAATCAGCCAATATTTATGATATGCACAAATTGACATGAGCCTCAGCTGCCATTTAAGCGAAAGACCTCAATGTCCGACTGCTTTGGGTATATATATAAATATGTATATATATGCATACTTGATGGCATTACGCGTGTCCGAATTGTCAGAATTGTTATACCCTGCCCTCACAGAGTGCCGAGTGTCCCACATAATGACAGGCTAAGTGGCTGTGTGGCTGCTGTCCTTGTCGAGCATGTTGTACTTAATAATCATCTGCGCCTCACTCACACACTTACACACTTACTCACTTACTCACT